TGAAAAGTAGAGCCTACCTGTACAGGGTTCCACTCCAACAGCTGATATAGTGTGTCCATGCTTGACTGCTTCAAGGCTCAAGAGATATAGGATAAGACTCTGCGTGAGTAAAAGACACTAGCGGTCTGCACCTCTACCGTGTACGCCCTAGTCACTCTTTCAGTGGTAGCGGAGCAGTGATCCTGGAAGACCCAGGTGAGCTCCTTTCCTAGGCATAGAATTGCTTGTGGGCAAACGGCCATGGATTGGATTGACGACTGGGAAGAGCCTGATGCGGATGTGGCTTATGAGCCAGCAGCCTATGTGAATAGGCATGTGAGAAGAGAACCAGCAGCGATAGCTATGACAACACAGGTCACTACAAAGGTGCCCCCATCTTATGATGGAAAGACTTCATGGTTTTCCTATGAGGATGCCATAGACGATTGGTGTGATACCACCGAGCTGGAGGATGAGAAGAGAGGACCAGCATTGAGAAACCGACTAGAAGGAGAAGCAGCTGTATACAAGCGTGTTTTAGACAGAGATGCATTGAAGGCAAATGATCCACCAGGAGCCGGCGTAGAATATTTCAAACGAGTACTACGACCATATTTCGTGAAAGGATCAACCAATGTATTCCTGTATAGGTTCATGCAATTCGCGCGCTTCAATCGAGGATCAGCTGACATGATGAAATGGATGACAAGATTCCAGATTTTACTCCAAAGGCTTATGAGCAGTTGGATGGACATGCTAGAACCAGTCACTCAAGCACATCCACAAGTCCTAGCTCAGATGCAGGCAGATGCAGCGTTGACTGGAGTAGCACCAACGGCAGAAAGGATTCAGGAAATCATGCAGACCATCAATGGCAATATGAGGACTTTTCATCAGAACGAATTTCCTCTAGGAGAAAATCTGATTGCCTTACTCATGCTGTCACTTGCAGATTTGTCTCAGGACCAGCGAAACACTTTGACTTCTTTGATGACTCATCGTGGCAGGGTCCTGCAGCAATATACTACAACAGAGTTGAGGACAGTGTTCATCGAGATGTTCTGCACGACAAAGACTTCAGTAGACAATCCTTTGATGCAGCCGACAGGTGCTGGAGGTAGAAGATCATTTCTCGTACTAGACGAAGGAGAACTCGATGGTACATTTGGCTATTGGGCCGAAGATGAAGAAGATGGAACTGAAGGATTTCTAGATGCCCTGGACGATGTCTTTTGGGTATATGATGATCAAAACTTCTCGTGGTTCCAAAGGAGATTCCAAGGAAGAAGAGCCAGAAAAGGCAAAGGAAAAGGTAGAAGAAAAGGAAAAGGTAAAGGAAGATCAGGCCGCAGATTCTTCAGACCTCGTGGAAAAGGAAAAGGAAAGAGACGAGGTAAAGGCCATTTTGCTGATGAGCAACAGACAACTTATCCAGATGAGTACTTTGAAGAGAATCCTTATGAGGACACTTGGGAGTCAAACCAAGTAGCATATGATGCCATTCTTGCCGAGGATATGAATGACTATCTTCAAGGAGGATATGATGATGCCAATGACTTTTGGCAACAGCTTAAAGAAGCATGGTTTTCCCACAAAGGAAAAGGAAAAGGCAAGAGAAAAGGCAAGAAAGGAAAAGGAAAAGATAAAGGAGATGGCAAACAAGATGCAAACTATGCAAATCAACAACAGCCACGTTCTTTGCCTGCACCTTCAAGATCTTCACAAGCATCAGGAGGTCAACAAGGTTTCTTTGCACATTGTGTGACAGCAGCAGCTGAAGTCCATGACAGTGAGGTGGACTTGCTGTCAGGCATGATGACCTCATGTCAAGATGAAGCTGACTGCGCGGTCAACAATGGTGAGACGATCTTCAATGGCATGAGTGCCCCTGTGAGGTACTCTTTGTCAAAGGAGATGCTCACAAAGGCTCCTGATGGCTTTGCGCTTATGAGCGCTGAGGAAGAAGTGAAGGAGATGCAGGCCATTTCATTTTTGACTGAGAATCGCTTCCCGCCGACTATTGCAATCCTGGACATTGGATGCACTAGAGCTATGGGATCAAGGCGAGCAGTCGACCATTTTTGCAACTATGTCGACAATCACCCAGATTGTGGATTGTGGTACTCTTTTGAGGCTACCAAGAGCAAGTTTTACTTTGCCAATTCCCAGAAGGCTACTTGCTCTCAGAAACTGGTGATTTACATGTATGATCGTGCATGGACGATCCACCATACAGAGTTCGACATAGTGGAAGAAGGAGAAGTCCCTTTGCTTATGAGCTTGCCACAGATGAGGAACTTAGGCTTTGAACTCAGGCTGACACCTCAACATGCTTATCTGACATCGGTGCCTCTTGGTATCAAATATTTGGAGTTGAAGGTTGCAGCCAGTACTCATCTTGTCTTGGACTTCCAAGATATTGCATGGTATCTGTCTGACGTGAATTTGCAGACTCGGCGCGAGAAGAGTTTTTACTCTCACTTCACTCACTATGAGTATGGTCATATTTCTGTTGACCTCAATAGTGATGAAGATGTAGCTGAACATGCATATCCTGTGGTTGACTACTGGGAAGTAGATGTTCACAAGAGAGAACTGATACGTCACCACAAGGATTATAGAAAGATTCTTTTCCCAGCAACTAAGTCCTGTCCTGTAGACACTGACCTACTGGAAGACTTGCGATTGACAATCATCAAGAAGAAGAAAGGAGGAGAAGAGATCAAGAAGCAAGATGATTGGCGCAAGGCAAAATGGAAGGACCTACAAATTGGCTATGAATGGCGTGGTAGAACAATTTTTAAGTTTAAACCAGATGCCAAAATTCCAGATCTAAAGATCAAGAAGGCTGGCATTGAGCACCGTGGCATTGGTGATCCCGATGCAGTGGTGCGCTCCTCCTCAGAGAAGGTTCCCATTGCAAAGGACAGGGAACCAGGCTTCTCGTCAGAGAAGGAAGGTGCACCAGCCAGTGCCGCGGAAAAGCCCGTGCCGCCAAAATTCCGGTATACTTCCAAGGGTTTTGATCCATTTTGGAAAGGACACAAGTCGAAACCATCTGAGCCTCAGAATGATTTAAAGGGTGATGATCTTGAGGAGTATGTTCCCTCAGAACCACCTGAGAGGCCAGAAGGTGAACTTGTAGAAATTCCTAAAGCATCAAAAGGACCATCAAGTGATAAACATGAACCACTTGAACCAGGTGATGGCGCTCTTGAGCCTAGGCGGATTTCAATCCCATTACCTGGTAGTGAAGTTGTTGCAATGACACCGGCATATAGGAAGATGTTACAGAGACTGGAGGACAAGGTAGAGCTTTATAAGCTTCATGTGAAGCACTACCATATGAGTCCTACTCAGTTTCGTAGACGTGTTTCTATGTTGAAGCTTCCTGACTCTGTTTTAGAGAAGTATGAATCAGTTGTCAGGAACTGCCGTGTTTGTAACACTTCAGTGGCACCTCCGCCGCGAGCCAGAGTCTCCGGTATTAGAGCTTCATGTTTTGGTGATGTTGTTTTTGCTGATCATTGTGAGGTTGAACTTCACAAGAACAAGTATATCATCTTACTTGTTCTTGATGGTGCCACAAATCTTCTCTGGGCTACGGCACAGAAAGACCTCATAGATCAAACCACCATCCAAGCATTGAGGCAATGGTCTGATGAGAACAACTGTGTTCCAAAGGCCATCGTAGGAGACGAAGCCTTTTTCACAGATGCTTTTGTTGAATACTACAGGTTCCATGGTATACAACAATGTCCTTGTGGGCCAAGAACTCCTTGGCCGAACCGAGCAGAGACAGCTGTACGTTTGTTCAAACGTATGTGGCATGTTATGAAGGTAGATCTGGATGACCCACGTTTTCGTGGTGTTACGGTCAGAGAAGTGGTCAAGAAGGTAGTTTGGGCAAGAAATTGTCAGTTGACTATCAGTGGATATTCACCAATAGAGATAGCAACTGGAAGACGTCCACCAGATCTTTTTGACCTTGAGACCGCAAGCCCTGAGCAATTGTCAGCTAATGCCGCCGCACAAGATCGTACAAATTTGGAACTACAACGTGTGGCTTTGAGAGCTCATCAAGAAGCACGACAAGCTCAGGACCTTCGAGCAGATCTTGCAAGAAGGACTATGCCAAGCGACGGTCCTTATTTCCAAGGAGAGAAGGTTTTTGTTTGGACTCAGGATTCATCAAAGTTCAAGGATAAAGGACGTTGGGTTCGTGCCACAGTACTTGGACAAGAAGGAGCTATGGTCCAAGCCAACACTGGTAAGGCAGTAGTACGTGTGAATCAGTCGAAGGTTAGACGTGATCACGATGAGTGGCATGATGTTTCCATACCGGCATTAGACGATGAGAATCCGGAGAACTTACGTGAAGATCACGAACTGTATGTTGATGCCGAATTTGGAGAACAGTCCTTTTTCTTCTGTAATGATGATCATCCTGATGTTGTTGAGTTACTTCATGGAAACAGTGGATTATCTTGGTTCCTTTCAAAGAATGGTGTTAAAGTTGCATCTCCTATGGATTTCAAGGCAGGATACAACTTTTCCACTATGAAGGGTCAAGATGGTATTTGGCAGCAACTGGAGAGATTGCAGCCCCACTGTATAGTGATCAACAACCCTTCTCCCAAACAGAACAGAGCTTCTATTTGGTTGCTATGTTGTAATGTGATTGAGTGGCAGTTGAGAAGGAAGAAACATGTGTTTGTGACTGTTCCCAAAGGAAACAAGTTTTGTTTGTTTTTGCAGAAGTTCATT